CAGCTGTTGTTGTCCTCAATTTTTAACAATGTAGCAATGGTGCTCTATTTTTTTCCACACTATTTTGTTTTTTAACCATTACCAATAAGCAGAGGAGTACAATTGCTAGGAAATCTCATTTCTAGAATTGTATTTTAAGTCCTGTGCTTTGTTTTGATACCATTTTTGGGATCTGCAGAAAGGGAACAATCTAAATACTGTAAATAAAGACAGAAACAAGAAATCACTCCAATTTAATCTTATGCATACAACCAATAAGTACAAGATCTTTAAGCAATATAAAAGTTACATAACATGTTTTTGTCTTCTAAATGATGATAAGTCAGAAAAGACAGTTATTTATAGCTGGTCCTTCTTTTCATTATCGAGTTCTAAATCTTGTTTTGGAAGCAGTTTGTGAATTAATAGAACAAATTTTTGTTTGTTAATAAAATGTCAGTTTAACTAGGGAGAAAAAAATATAAAAGTTGTTTGCCAGTTCTTGGAAGTGACATGAATCTTCGGAAATTATTCTCATGGGCTCACTAACATCCCCAAGAGTCTAATATATCCCTTTAATAAATATAAGTACTTCTCAACACTGAACGCCAGACACACAAATTGAAAACAGACAAAGAATTCCTAAATTTTGTAACTTATTTTTCATGTTCAGTGAAGAAATTATTTATTACAGAAGGATAGCTAGAGATTTCTTCGAGGAGGTAAGTATATCTTGAAATTCGATAATCATATAATTAGTTTAATTTGATAGTTTTTGAGATTATGCACTTTGTAACAAAGAATTTGAAATCCTCGAGTTAATGAAAGTTCTCCACTTAAGTGTGAGGCCAAGATTTTTTTCTAATAAATAGCTTTATATATAATATTCCAAGATACAAAAGTTGTATCAGAAAAAACATTTGGTGAACAAGTATGTTAAAAATAACTTTAAAGAGCTGGAAAGATACCACTTTACTCTGTCTTTTCCATTTTTATGCAGATGTAGGGTTGTTCAACAGGAAACATTCTTATGATCTGGTCTGCCAAGTGACTGTTCAGACACTCACTCTCTGACAAGTCTTAGCTCTCAAGAGACACCTCAGGCTTTACTCTAGATGTTGTCTTGCACATTCTCAAAACACTCAGTCCATGTCATACTAGTGAGAGTGTCCACAGACAAAGAGCCATCCCTAGTTCAGGCTAGCATTTCACCACCTTAGGCTGAATGGGAATCAATTATACTTCCACCACTAACTAAATAGCTGTCAAGTTGTTTAGATGGATCTCCTAGCATTTGAATATTTGACAGAAATGTTTGTCTTCTAGATTCTGTGCAAAGTCAGTACAACATTATAGACTGAAAAAAATAATTCCTGTATTAGTGTATTCAGTATATGATACTGAAATAGAGATAAAGCAACCTTCTGAATTTAGGTTAAACATGGTCTTAATTTCACTTTATTCTTCTAGTTTTTGTGGACTTGTGCTACTGAAATGTGTCAAAGTGATGCAAACACTTTCCTTTTGAATTATATATGCAAAGAACTAGGAAAAGATGCATAGCACACTTTGCTATGCAGCTTCATATTTTGGGTGTGAAAACTTGTTTATAGCTAAATTCAAAAATAAACCAGATAATGTGTTATAAAATAGGTAGAACGGACTAATGCCAGTCTTCATATTCAAACCTATCTCTGAACAATCTAGAATTCCTTTCTCCCTTAATAAATATTAATTTGGTAGTTTGATATTGTATATTTTCAACTGCATCAGATTAAATTGCTAGTGTAATGTTAAAATGATTAAAGTAATTTTGTAAATGTTAAACTGAAGACACCAATAGCAGTTCATCAATCGGAGTCTAAATCCATTTCTTTCCAGGATTTAGAGGCATTTCTTTTATATTGTTCAAGTTCCTAAAACAGAAGCAGACATACATATTAATGTAATCTCATTACTAAAAGTTATAAAATACATACATTAGCCACTTGAACATTTAAAGCATGTACAAACATTTTTCACTGTAGAAAACATGTACCATATCTATTTTTATCTGCAACAAAATTATACTGGAAGTGCTACAAATTTTGCCACATTTGCTGTCATACAGGGATCTCGATTTTATTTTAGACCTAGATACCTTCTAGGGAAGAAGAAATTTTGTGTCTTTTCAGTTAAAGAAATCAGGCTCCTTATGAACATACAGAAATAAAACCCTACATATGTTTTAAAAACAGAAACCAAAATTACCCAACAGAAGCTACTCTTTCACACACATGAATTCAGGGCCTTTCAAGAAGCAAAATGTATTAAAATGGATCGGTAATTCTTTAAGATTACAGAAATTTTTTTTAAGATTACAGGATATTCTTTAAGATTACAGGAAAGAAACTACAAGAACAAAACCTACTTTCCTTTTTTTTTAAGCAGTGGACTAAAATGAATTTCTGTAAGCTTATACTTATAAGCTTAGAAACTCCTGCAGAACACAAGCTTGTCCAGAAAACAGTAAGCAAACATATATTTTAGAGAAATGTAATGGGTGTTTAGGAAATCGACATACCATATCTATTGATTCTATGGTACTGGATATTTCTGGAAATATTCATCATTGCTTGAGGTTTTTCAGGAAGTGTATTACTCAGACAAGGCTGCCATGATTTTACTTTTGTTTTTCAATTAGTAGTTAAAATATTCTTTCAGGTGCTACTGTTTAGCAGGTTGAAAAGTTAGCATCTGCATGTAAAAGTAACATGCAAACTCAATGTGGTAATTAAAATTCTGCATCTTCTAGATAGAAAATAGATTATTAAAAGCAAACAGGGGCTCAAATTGTGGAGGTACAAATAAAACAAATTAGGTATGAAAGATGAGGCAGTGTATGTTATGCTATACTTGACATCAGCTGAGTACTAGCAAGGTAGACCAATGACCTCGTTTCAGTCAAAAGTGCTACTGGGACTTTTGAAGCCTATAATAAAAGGTTCTAGCAACATTACCAAACAACAATTCAGTTTTCTGAATTTTATGTAGTGGTGCATACTGTCAGGAATTATTTATGAATATTTTTTCAGCAAAAATTAATTTAGAGAGCACTACAATTTGATACTCTAATAGGTACTGTTAGACCTAACCCTGTGCTGCTTACAATACAAAAAAAAGTCATCATATCCTACTTAGATCAGGAAAAGAGGTGGACATAAAGCAGTGATTAGTACACCTGTAGCAAAGACCCTCAAAAGGGGGCATATGGTTGCTATTCTGATTTTAATAGAATGGACTTAACAGAGTAAGGAAGGTTTCACTGTAGACATACAGATACTAGAACTGACAAAAATAACAAAATTCACACCTGGTGAATTTAACAGAAGTATTAACTCTCAATCCGGGGCACAGAGGGAGGAAGAGGAAAAAGGGCAGACCAACAAAGAAATCATCATCTAAAAAGTGTATGGAAATAATAAATGGAATTTTCTCTCTGAGGAAATAATTTCAGCAGCTTTGTCAGCAGTGCAAAATTTTCAGAAAGCACCACAGATTTATAAGCAGTAAAAGGATTTTTAATTAATGCATATTCTTCAGGATGCTTGCAGGAGCCTAGTTTTACAGTTAAGTAACTCAGAGATGACTGACACAGGACATATTGTGTCTAGTCTAAATCTAGTAAATTGCATTATTAAATACACCTCTAGTACTACTGAACTGTTCTAGCTCTAAGCCAGTCATTACTCAGTATTTTCACTCCCTCATTATCAGTGTAAAGTAATTATGATCTTGGAACATAGTGAACTGTTGGAAACTTGCCAACAGTTAGGAATAGAAAGAATACTGTGGTATTTTAAGAAGCACATGTAACCTGTTTTATGCTAAGTAAATAATTTCAATTCTAACAACTTTCTCAAAGGCTACAGGAAGGGGTAAAATTAGACAATGAAGTTTTACATATAATGACAATGCTGTCTGGGGGCATGTCTAGAGGTGTTGCCTAAATAATTAGCCTTACATATTTATCATTGGGCTAAACTGTTTCAAGAATGAGGCCGATAAAAATTTAGCAGAATTTATTCTGCTGTAATTTTAGCTAGCTAGAAGGCAATTCAGTGTAAAGGCAATTCAAAACAATACAGAAATGGAAAGTATCAAACCCACGGCATATATTAAAACTGTATAGCTATTCCAGTACCTATAAAAGTACAGAACACAATGATAAATATTTATTTTGGAGATGTAACTAGGTAAGACTAACACTTAAACAATCAGAAATTAAAGAAAAAGGTGATTAAATGGGAGACTATTTACCAAAAAACCCCAAACTTTAACAAAATCAGTGATTCAGGAGGAAATATACTGCCAGGAAACTAGACTTCGGTAGTTTTCATGTAAAATAGAAAGCAAAATAAATCCCCGTAAATCAGAAATGTAATGGAGGAATATTTCAAATACAGCTAAAAGATCATGCCGGAGACCCTTTTGAAAAAGGGTACCCTCTACTCATGAATTCCTACACTACAAACATAAGCAGAATGCTGGAATATACTGTAACTGTGCAATCAGCCGAGATGCTCTCTCCAAACCAAAAGAAGATCCTACAAAAGAATGTATCTCAAAGTATAACAAAATGTTCATGCTAGCATTATGCTTGCTTTGTTTTCTGAGAACCAAGTGTAAGGGGTACAGATCAGATTTACAAAGAATTAACAGTTTCAATTTAAATATGCTTTTAAGGTGCTCTGAGTGCTTTAAACATCATTAGTGCTAGCAACTTGTCCTAGATGTCTCAACACTTGCATAAAGTGGATTTTTAAACTTTTTTTAACCTTAATGCTTCTGTACTTGTGTGTTTCTATAAATTCTTTATCTGTCAAACAGGGAAGATCACACCTAATCTCATAAAGGGATTGGAAAGAAAGACTTAACTGATGTTTATGAGGCACTCGGATAAGATAACATTACCACACATTCTCAGAGAAAAAAAATTAATACTTTTGTGATCATTGAAGTGTCTGAATGGCAGGTTGAGAAATAAGGTACACAAAGAATACGGATGATGAAAAGGAATACTGAACAATTGAATTGAGACATTAGCAAAATAGTATATGATCATGTAATTAAAGACAATAAAGTCTACAAACAAGGAGGAAAAATTAAGATTGTAGAAAAGCCTTAATTGTTGCATTTCTTCGGTTCTGAGGGACTGAGATGACTTAAACATTCTTTTTCATGCAGTTTCTTACTGAAAGTGTCATCAGTCTGGAACATGGGGAAAATACCCAAGTACTGAAACAAGGATTAAAAATATTAGGCACCTAAACTTCAGTAGGCAATTTAGTAACAGTGCTCTATTAATGCTCTTTAAGTTAGTTTTTTAAAAAGATAAAATGTTTTGCACCCATTTGGACAAGCCTTCATGTGAAAATGAGAATGCTTATTCTTGGCAGCTGAGTAAACATCCTACACAACTTTTTCTCGACAACATGAAGACTAGCACTTCTCCTCTGGAGACAAGGAAAAATGCTGTAACTGTGTTACCCCCGTTAAGATGCCTGTCGTACTTCTCTGCCGAGTAACACCAAGGAGGTTCATTGCACAATATGAAATCTTCCTTTTTGTTGAATGAGATTGAAATTGTCTCCTGAAGTTTTTCAATATGGTCATGTCAGTGAAGTATGCTGAAAAAAAATAGCTCTCATTCTGCTGGCCAACACTGTCCCCATCTCAGACAGCTGCAGATCTGACACAAAGGACTTTTAGTTGTGAATGACATAGTTAATTAGGTCACTCCTACTTTAGGGGAAATAGGTCTACACCTCCTTGGGAGATGTTACAGAACCTCCTCTTCTTCTGTTTATGACTTGCTAAAGTCTTAACAGTTACAGTCCTGTTTGTTGAGATCTGCTTCCCTTCTTGTTAGCTGACACCACATGGCACCAGGCACTTATTTTTTGGTATACTTTATGGCGTTAGGCTTCAGCTAAAATTGGAACCAAACCCTAAAGTACTACCTTTGTGTAACAAGGACCAGTCAGCGTGAACTCTGGCACTGTAGGACACTGACTTCTGAAGGACTTGATTGGGAGGCTATCCAGATCTTTAAGCACAAGGTTAGCTTTACCGTTTGCTTCAATGAATGAAGCTGCAGTCAAATGTCCAGATGAAAAAATTCCAAGCACCTATTGAAGTATCAGCAGCACAAGGCATAACAGGATAGCTGAGACCTCAAACAAACATAAACCTTCAAAAAGACATCTTAGAGTACTAAACTCCGGCAAAGAGCATTTGTAAAGGAAACAGAGCAGACATCCCCATGTGCCATCTGGCTGCCACAAACATTTAGAAGGAACTAAGGAACAAGACTTTCAGGCTCTCATAGGTGCCTACAGATGCAGAGGGTATATGTGCAGCTCTAATCAACAACGTTATTTTAAAAGATCTCACTCTTATTCAAGTTACATGTGACTTAAAATGAAATTAAGGTGACCTTAAAGCATCAAAAGCCAAAAAGCGAGCAGAGACGAGAGAGAAATGGATGACACAATCGCCATGTTGTTTATGTTTTACAGGGACTGTATGAAGAGTTAACAGCAAGCTACATGTTTAAGCCTTAATAAATATGCAAAATGAATGGTTTTCTTCAATCTTGAAAGCCCTGCAAAGAGCACAAAAATTTCAGTAATTCTCAAAGAGAATTTGCTAGTTAAGGAATCCATTAAAAATATAAGTTCCAAAAAGGTCCCTAGTCCTGTATTCTCTCTCTCAGAGCTTAACTGCAGAGAATGACAAAGCAGTAAACAATTGCAACAGCACTATTTGACATAAAGCTGCAGGTTTTGTCTATGAGGTAAGAACTAGGAAAAGAATTCTGAAAAGACATAGTGGAGGAAAAGGGATGTGCTCTATCTTGAACAAAGGCACAGTGAGGGAAAGATAGCCTCAGAGAGCTTTCCAGGGTAAAAAAGTCTAGAAGTAAGAGTGGTACATTTCATGGTTAACTCTGAAAATATTAAGGAGGAAAAATAATCTGGTCCAGAAAACACTCTTGTGGCAGAATGCTGATGAGCTGGACTCAACTTCTACCCAAAAAGCATCTCAGAGAAATACTAGCTGACAGCTAGGACATGGGAATGCACCAGGTACTTTCTTGTTTCTGTACTTTTTTTTTTATATTGTTGTCTAACTTCATATTTGAGAATTTAACCTTTCACTCTTCTAGAGCATACAAACCCTAGCTGCAGACAAACCCTTCAACCAAGGTTACAAAGTTGGAACTGATTTAATTCAACTTTGTATTGCGACAGTTATCTATAAATCTATTACAGTATTATTGAGCGTTCCTGACCGAGTCAGTCAGGTACGCTAGTTCCATCAGATGTGGTGACTGGGGGGTATATTTTGTTTTTATTGCTATGTTTTTGTGTTTATTTTTATCATTGAGATAAAAAAGCAAACTGGTTATCGCCTAGAGTCCAAAGTGGCATATTAATTAACCGGAAGTAACCAAGAAAAATGATAACATGCACCTAAATGATTTTAAAATACATGCTGTTGTCATATGAAACCTTGATTTTGCATTATGTCCCATGATTTCATCAGCAACGTGTTGCATATTAAACATCTTAATATACTGTTCCTCCTACCCAATAGGTATCATGAAACTCTATAAAGAATGTCAGACATGATGCATTTAAAATGTTGCTTTTAAAATAGGATTTTTGTGCAACTTTTCATATAACTGGGACATCCAAAGACACGTCAAGAATAACTGCAACTATAGAGTTCTTTTCTTTTATATGTATACTGCTATCTTGGTCCATTTCAAACTGAATGAAGTTCTTGGAGTATAAAACATTTTAATAATGTGCAAATAATCTCGTAAAAATTGAACTTCATGATAAAGAAGCTTAGGAAATAGCTGCAGATAACAAAAGTAATTTTCTCTTTAATGCTCAAATTACTTGTAGTAGTCCAACTAAAAGAAGCTACACTGGTTTGCAATGCCCTTGAACAGATTAAGATTCTAAAAGCCTGTCTCTTTTGTTTAAAAACAGAACATTAATAATTTTCTGTATGATTTTCTGTATGATTTAATCAACGCATACCAGTATCTTCTTTTGCAAGACATAAGTATTATCTAAAAATAACAAACCTAGTACACCATATAGTTATTCTGAGATATATAGATATACTGAGCATGAGATTACATTATATATTCCAAAAGCAATGTGCTTTACAAATTTTAATGATTTCTAGGACTGCTCTTGATATAACAGAAATTCAGAACTGATGCCTACATTAACAGGATATTACAGGTAATGTGCAGGTTCAAAGACTGCAGGGGATTCTTGAAATTGCTTTATTCTTTTACATCATTAATGTATTTCTTTGGATCATGTAACCACAGGTTTACTGCCATACGAAAGCTAACTAAACTCTACAAAACCATGATGGCGGTAATAATCTAATCCTTTGGCATTCTTTTACAAGCATGCAAAAAGATTACATTTGCCATGGTCTTTTAGGGTTAGTTGAGATTAACTGCAGTGCAATTCAATAAAACTGCCTTTCATCTTAAGAGTGGGGGTCTCTAAAAGCATGTGAGATCTAGACTGGTACAATCCATTATCTTAAAGCACCGTTAGAAAAACCTCTAACTGCAGTAACTTGGTCCACAAGGAAGTTAAATGGTGTACAAATAAACCACGTATTAGCTGTGAGAATAGAGTGGAATGTTTCTCAGTCACTCTAGCAAAGAATTTTCTGTGTGTGAAACAAATGAATCTATAGGAAATGGAGAGTTTCCAGACTCAGTATGTGATATTTCTTCCAAACAAAGAAAATACACACATCTTGGATTGATTTTAACAGACTCATACCTGTGATATCGATGAAGACTATATACAGTGCTTCTACTCATGTGATGTTATACACTGATACCTGTAAGGCAACGTTCCAACCTTTGTCTAGTTTGCCACAGAATTTTTCTATAAAATTAATTCACCACACATATAGGGAAATGCAAAAAACTTAAAAATAAATCAAAAAATAAAAGATCCTTTCCTCACTAAAGGTCTTTCCTGAAGTTCAGGGGTTAAGCCAAACATCACTATGTGGAATAATTCTGTTCACTCTAAGATAAAATATACATAGCCTGCAAACTCAAATCAGAAATGTTATCATCTCAGCACCTTTCCAGCTTAAATAAAAAGTTCTGAAGGAGAAAGACAAAAATTTAAAAAAGTAAACAGACCCCACCCCAAACCTTGATACTTCTTCCTAGAGTTTCTGCTAGTCAATACCCAAATGAGAGTACAGGGTGAATAAATTAAGAAATTACTGCCAAGAAAGCCTCACAGCTTTGCTTCAATATTATTTGGTGAAATAACTCTGGAAGAGAGTTAGAGGGAAAATCTGAATCATTCACTTCTGAGTAAAATAGTGAGCCAAAACTTTGAGATCTAACAATGCTCTACTGGCTTAATGTCTGCCAATGGGAAAAAAAACCCCAAACTACTAAGGTGAAAACTAAAGTTGAAGCTATTTAAAGGCAAAAAAGGATTATGAGTATATCCTACAATTAATTCAGCAATGCTGGTGGTTCTGGAATACCTGACTGTGAACAGCAACTGGAGAATGACTACACACCTGGTTTTTCTGAGCTCTCATAACATCAACTTCATACTCGGCGTATTGTAAATCCTGTGCAGGATCCTTGGTATCTTGTAAATCACAGGAACTCTAAAAGAAAAAAATATAAACCCCCAAATTATAAAATTTTTCTTCTGTTCTTTTAATAAGAAAATGCCACACTGTAGATCTGATGGAATTATTTGCTTTTAATACAAATGTATTAAAATCTTGCATTTTGTGCTATAGGACACAGATTAGAAAAAAAAATGTTACACTGGTAAAATGATGAGAAAGTAATAGCACAGTTAGATCTTAAAGGAAATAAATTATTCTTATTTGGTAGTTGTTTATTGTTCTCTCCTCAAAATGAAAATACTCTTTCTGGCTGATGACATTTGGGCATAATTAAGGTTGCTCTTGCTAGAGCATTTACTACTCAAGACTAGAATTCAGTTCTGGTTACCAGAAGTGTTACTTCAATAGCCGAGAAGTTGATTACTATCTTTTTGCCAAATACCTGAATTTTCATTTACTAACCCTGAGGGACTGTAACTTTAATTCCAAAGATACAAATACACTAATATCAACACTATCAAATAAAGAATTTTGTTTTAAATGTTGTCCAGCAGATCTCTCCTTACTCATAATAAATGGAAAGCAGCAAGAAGGCAATCATACAAATGATGGCATAGAATAAAGAATTATTATTAGATGAAGCAATGCAAAAAGAAATTTTCAATGCATAACAACAGCTTTAAAGTTTAAAGCATATTTTGGAACCAAAACATAAGACTGGGAATCTACTTGACAAATCTTTAAATCTCCCTTAATTGGACTGATACCTTAGAACACTGATGGAGCTTGCAAGATGTATTTGTTTCTCCAGCTGTTTCAGGAGTTCAGGGATTGGGGGAGGAATGTTTGTTTACTATGTTTTAAAAGGTATGAGGAAAAACAACGTGAAAAATAACACTTCTGTATTGTTTCTGAAAAGTTAAGTTTAGTTTTTATCATGTTGGGGCATACTGTACTGAGAACAGTATCTTAGTGATAATTTATTCTGGTCTCAAACCACCTGAAATAATTTGTAGGCTTTGATATGCAGCAGTTTAGTGAGTGGGAAAGGGTGAACTTAGACTCTGTCTCATCAAGAATGGAGATCCACAAGCTGAAATCTAGAAAAAGCCCTGTTTCTACACCATAATTTAAGGTGCAGTTTCATAGCCCCAACTGACTTCCTTGCCTGTCCAGAAAATGGACAGGGATGAAGAACTGTGATACAGGCTAGTACACAAGGAGAAAGCAGCAGCTTGTATTTGCTCAGGTCAAACAGAAAATAATTTTGATTTCCTAACAACAGCAATTACTTTTCTTGAAAATAAGTATTGGGGGTTTGGCTCTTGGCACCAGAAACTTCTGAAATATGAACAAGATTTATCACTACATAGGTATTCAGGGATTCTAATTACCTTGCAAATCCAAACACTTCCCATAGCAAAATGACAGATTTTGGCAAGGAACCCTAACACACTTGTCTCATTCACAGCCTCTCGCCCGAGAGCAAGGATCGGCAGCTTGCTGCAGTCAGGAAGAGCTGTCCTTTTGGAACATCATGATCATTTGGTTTAGGTATTAGGGGATATGTCACCTTATAAAATCCCAAAACCATTGAGTATAGCTTGTCTCTCAATATAACGAAAGGCAGTGTTATGACTTTGGAAAAAACAGTGGGTTACATCGGTACTTTCATTATTACTAAACATAGGAAGGTGAATGAAGATATAGAAGCTAATAAAGAGCCACTACATACTTTTAAAAATGCTTGTATTAGAGCAGTTGGAAGAAACAGAACTGCTAAGTAAGACTGAAATTCCCATCACTGGACTTGAAAGACAAAAATGAGTAGTGATATTACTACTATTCTATGAGAAAAGAAGCTGTGCAGCAGACACGGTAAGTACCTACCTTCGGAGGAAATGTTTTCTCAAATACTTTTTTCCACAGTTCCAAAGGTGTGTTTGCACACATCTTTCCAATATCACTATCAGAGGCAGGTGGTGGTCCTAAAAATTACCACACAAAGTGATACAAATATGTTGTCATAACAACAGAAATTATCAAATCATTTTGGATGATGATCCATCTAATTTAATATTTTATCTTTTACAGTGACAAGCTGCGACAAGTTTGAAAAAACATTGATCTCCTACCATGAAATGGGCTGAGTGGTATTGCACGTTATATTTTTTTCAGATCTAAGCTTGTTGGTACTTTACTATTTGAAGTAGTCCCAATAATTTATTAAACTACATAACAAACCTGCACAAGTAATTCTCAACAATATAAACACTGAATCATAATTTTAAACTTTCTAAGCTATTACCTTCAATAACCTGTTAAAAATGATGCTGATGTGCTATAATTTGATTTGATTAAATTTTTTTTCTTTTTCAAAACCAATTAAGCAACAAACAAAATGAACAGGAAATGTCCTAACCTATTTGGCTCAGTGAATCCAGGCCTGCTGGTATAAATAGAGGTTTGCCATAATCCACTGATACAGACTTGCTAAACAGAAAAAAAAAAATAAAAAATCAAGTGAGCATTTAGCAATCAGTGAAAAATTACATTATTCTAGCCAAGACTACACTCATACTGGGCTTTGTAAACAGATACATGTAAATAAAAATCTACTCAATTCTAATGGTGACCATATTTCTAACCCATCAGTTTTGGGATCAGAAACAAGGACTTATCACTGTCCTGGTGCAGAGATAGGCAGCTGAGGCACAGGAGTCAAAGTCTGTGAACAAGAATCTTTCAGACTACATATAAGAAAAAAAAAATGTTTTTGTGATTAAAATATTTTTATTAAGTACTTTTAGACTCTCGGCAAGACTTTTAATAGTTGGACAATAATTATGTTACCTTTTATCATAGCCAAATGCCAAGTGATTAACAAGAACACGGGCTTTCAGCAGGAGAGCCTCAGATTTACTGGTAAACTAAATGAATCAGAAAACAAAATCTACATTATTATCTTCCATCACAGAAATATTACATTATGTCATTTACATAGGGGTTTTCAGATAAAGTCTGGCTAATTCCTGACCTCAGTACATTTGATATATGTTCACTGAATTTACCAGAATAAAAATCTCACCCTCCCTTTCCAAACTCACTGAATGTATTTGTCACTGAATATACAGATCAAGAAAGATTAAATTAAAAATAGTATAAAGAACAAATTTTATCATATTGATTCAAAACTTTTGAAGAATGCACAGAGACACAAATATTTTGTCCAAGATTATGAGTTATTAAGATTTTAAACTACATGAAATATTATCCAGAATACCATAAACATTTAGAAATGTAACGAATAACTATAAAATTGTTCACACATCATAAAAGCAGCTTGATAGTGGCAGAACTGGTACAGATTTATAAGAAATCAACTCCCAGAATATCTTCTCAAACTGCATGCTTATTCCTGTCTATGGGCTTTTGTCTTCTAACAGATTCATTGTTTTGAGAAAGAAGTCAGATCCCTACTATGGGAAATTTTCCCCCCATTCATTTCCATGGGAATCAAGGTTTAGCAGCCAAAGAGTTTTAGGCTCCTAGTTTTTAATTTTTAATTATGATAATGCTTAAATGTTTTAAAAGAAAAATTAAATCAAGACAGTTGTATTCTCAGTCAACAAAAGACGAATTCACATGTCAAAGTACAAAAGCTGTACAATTTTACATGGATGCAAAAGGCCATGTGATTATAACAATTTAAAATAAAGATAAGTTGTTTGGTAATCAAAATAAGCCACTATTAAATATTATTTATTACATAAATGATGGTCGATACAGTTAGAACCATCTTCTGACATAGAGAATGCCCAGGAGGCAGCTTTTCTGGATTGTGAACTTGAGCATGCACATTTCTGCCTTTACTCAGAAAACGATCTGCCAAACTCAGAAGCAATTTATATACCCACATAAATACTTCACTGACCTCATATTTGTCAGGTCCTACTCTTTACTGTAAAAGAATCCCTGCCTTTATTCTTCAATACTCTAAGTGTGGTAATCTGGTATACTTAAACTGCTGAGAAGATGACCCCTTGGATCCAAGTTTTTAAATCTACCAAAGTCAGGTCACAACATAAGTTCATGGTTCTACCAAAAAGGCCAGTTCTCTAATTTTATCTATGGTGACCAGTTTTGCCATCCTCCTTTCTTGTACCAAAAAAAATTTGCCAGACATGCAGTGAACTCAACATGGAAACTGAGTGGACTAACAGATAACTATTTTTATTTAGGTTTTGCTGATACTGGGAATTATGTAGTTTTTTTGTTCATAAGATATATCCATCCATCCATCCATCCATCCATCCATCCCCTGCCGATACCTGTAACCCAGTTGACAGATTAGCTCATGATGAAAGCTACTCTAAATCCGATTAAATCCCATTTTCTCTAGGAGTTTTACATTTCTATTTTTTTTTAATATTGTTTTGTAACACAAATATTGCTCATCTTCTCTATTCTTAGAAAGTGAATATACACACCACTAATGATGCTCCATAGTAATGTGAAACAAAACGAAGTGTCTTGCTTATTATTTTCTTCATTTCAGAGTCAAACTCCTGAAAAAGTTGATATTGGAATACATACATAAGAAACAAACCCCAAAATATTACAGCAAGAACTTTTCATTTTTTGTATAAACTGCAATGCACTTAGGCTACAATATATGAGGCTTTCAGCTGTCAGTGTAATTATATCTTAAGACAGAATCAGTAACAGCCTACTCTGAAACGAAATGTCACAATTTCCCTTTGTTTCTTTTTTACAGACGGAGCCTAATTCAAGCAATATGTTAGTCCAGAAAAAGTTTATTAATTGGGAATGTGTATTCAATTTTCAATTGTTTCATTTGGTTTTAAATTTTTAGAAGTGGAAATATTGCCTATTAGAAGAATAAGGATTTTTTTTCTTTTCATGAAAACATTTAACTTTTAGTAAACCTCTCAGTATATGCTCTCTAAGCTCTAATGTCTGCAATATTTGAAAGGTGCATAAAAGTACCTTTTCATCACCATTTCTTTAATATAAGGTCGTACAGATGGCCTCCCCTGGATAAATTGAGTGAAAACCTGGTCCCAGTGAAGCCTGCAGGAGTCTGTCCACAGAACCCAAAGGAATTAGGCTGTTATTCTGTGCTTATTACATGAGTCACTGATTTTTAAAGAGGTCATGACTCAGCATAAAGCCTTAGTATGAAAGAAGACACAGTACCTTATTATTAAAGAGTTATGGAATTCAGAGAGTCAGCCAAGTATCAATGCACTATGCAGTCATCCAGAGAAGCACAAACTGCCACCATGGCAGCTAAAAATCAAACATACTGTTCTAGTGTCTCATGATCAAGTACTGCTGGAAAATTGAGTATGCATTTGTTTGGATTTTTAGCGTCCTGGGAGAATCTAGCAGTACTATGATATTTCTTTCCTCTCCCCCCTAAAAGACACAATTACTCGCTTTTCTATAACAACTTAAGAAGTACTTTATAAAAAAATACCAGAGTAAATGATAGTTTAGTGTTCATGCTGCCACAACTACCAAAAAATCTGACCAGCTGACTTAAGAGATGCCCCCCTTTTACTGCCATAAACTTAACAGCTGCTGTCAGACGGGATCTATGGAGCTGGATTTCTCTCATTATAAAAGTCACCAACGTTATGTTTTCTTGCTTCCCTCTTTGGTCTGCAGCAATTTATATCTCCACATTTTCCAAGTACATCTCAAAAATCATCAGTTTGGGAGTGTTTTGTGAAAGAATGCCAGCATGCCTTCCATAATGCTGTTGAATGGAAAGACTTTTTTTTTGGCAGAAGGCAGACTGGATGTACTTTTGTTTAAATGATTATATTACCCAGATTTCAGTATATAGAATCTTTACCAGGTATCTTTTAATTATTTTTAAAAAATTATTATTACTTACATGAAAAATATCATATTTGCTTCCAATTATTACCAAGGGTATTGGAAAGGGGTCAACTAACTCATAATCCTGTTAAACAGATATGACAGTTAAGCAGTGTAAACAAACTGTAGAAGATTGCCACTGTTAAAACAACTGGAAGGGGTTAAAATTAATTCACAGAAGACAAACTTGTTTTTTCAAAACCTTAAGTTAGATGAATAAACTTTAGTGCAATATTGTCCTGATTTCAGCTGGGAGAGAGTTAATTTTCTAGTATAGTGCTGTGTTTTGGATTTAGGATGAGAATACCATACCATGTTTACAAGTTTCTCATTTTCTTCATAAATGGTCAGGAAATAATCCCTCTGAGCATTCAGAATACTAACTGGCATAAAAGGGTTCTTACACTATGTACTCCAGCTCCAACATTAGATGGGAATAGAAGAGAGTAAAAACCTCATATATTCACAGAACAACCAGAAGATTGAATTAGTAGAACTGGCTTTTTGACATATTCTCCCTCCTTGCACCATATCTAAAGTAATACAGACAAAAGCTCAAGAAAGTTAAGCTGAATGATTTGCTTTTGTCACACATTTGTCCCCCCCACATTACATTTTCCAAACTCTTAAAAAATATTTAATGTGATTTTCAGATGTTTAATATCAGCAGAAAGAGGAAATGTCACCTAACAACCATGAAAACGCAAATCAGTATCAATGGATGAAAACAGCTCTGGGGGTGTAGATAGCTTAAATAGCTAACGTCTGATAAAAATTTTACTAAGTAGATTTCAATAATTCTTAAGTTATCTGAAAGGTTTTCCTGTATTCTGTATGAAATGAAACAATCCCTTCATGTGTTCTATTTAGTCAAACTGCTTTGGTTGCAGCAGAGTGGAAAAGAGCTGTGTTGTAGCAGAGGTTCCCTTCTAAAAGTGGTTATTTCACATACAGGTTAAATGACAGTCAGTATATTGGCAAGAAGCTGCACATACAGAAAATCCTCTACTCTTTGAGAAAAAAAATATGGCTTCAATCATACACTGCCAAGGGAAAAGCTTTGAGTGATACTATCATAACTCAAAACTTGGTGTAAAGAATACAGAGCTGAAAAAAAAAATAGTTTTAGTTTCTTAACTAAGAAAAAATTAATTCGGGATAACATCAGAAACATTAAAACTGGCATACTGAACCCTGTTTGTCTTTTGACTACAGAATTAATTTTTTACTATGGACTACTTTAGGTGCATCCATCCTTTTTAAGCAAAGCCTGCAATTGATATACTCATGCTTTATCATCATAGCCAATAATTCTTCATCCAGACCAATGGAATATATCTAATCCTTAAAAAACCCCTCTAAGAACCGCATCAATTCCTGTTTATCATAAAAATACGTTTAGCTATAAAAAGGCAAATAAAAATCTGCATAAACTGTCATTTACTTTGACTATAAAAGATAGTATTTCCTCCCACAAAACTGACATAATTTTTTCTTGAACAATGATGAAAGTAAAAAGAGAACCAAGGAGTAACATAACATTTTGTTTGCATCCTTTCTGGTTTTGATAATGAAGACTGAAGAAAAATTCTAGTTTAGAAGGTGTAATTGTGTACTCTATAGGGCAAGTAAAACAAGTCTCTTCTTAACAATTAATGGCATTATTCTTTTTACTCTTTGAAAAAAGTTGCAGTTTTCTGATATGTAAGCCCCTACATGTAAACTTGACACTGGTCATGAAATATTGCCAAGTGTGCTTGCATGCATTTTCTTTTTGTTAATTACTTTCTCTAAAAATAAAAACCAAACCCATAATCCAGTAGATCTTAAACCCCATACCCTAAATCTACTGAGTGTTGCATATGTTGCCTTCTCATAAATTTTAAGTTACTTTTAAATTGTTGAACTACCTAAGCATTTGCTGTATTGCAGCATTTTATAGAAGTTACAGCAACTAGATTTATGTGCCACGTCTTTGAATTGTTGAATACTTATTTATGCATTATATACACACAACATTTGCAGAGGTTTAACGCACAATGACTTTTCATTTCTATTGCGCATAATCTAGTTTAGCTTTTCCAGAGATTTAGTTAGCAATTATGTTTAAAGGACTGATGTTAACATTTCTGAAACTTTATAATTTAATTAGTTGTCAGATTATCAAAAGGCATTGAGTTTGTGATAGACATTTAAATAAATGCAAAGTATATAGTCATGTTGATGGCTGTTATAACTATATTCTTTGCTTAAATTTGTACCTTCAGCTAGTCTCTTGCTAGATGACTTTTGTACGTTCTAGTTTTCATCTTCATTTTAAAAAGATGAGGGGGGAAAAAAAGCAAACTGCTACTCTAAAACTATTTCTTTTGATTGGTGTAACATGCCATAACAATCACATTAGATATCTAACAAAAAGATATAAGAAACCGTCTTTCCTTGTTTCTGCTCTTATTGAATTTTTATTAAATTGCTATAATTTTCCAGTGAACAGGTTCATCTACATCAAATGGATTTTCAGTCATGCATAAAAATCTAAAAGAGTTGTTTATGATTTTCAAAAGCATTATCTTTAACTGTATAAAGGCCTGTGACATCTGGAGAAAATATTAGAAGTAACTTACTGGATGATCCCTCTGCAGATTGTTCCGCATTCTCTGTTTAATTTCAGTAGCTACTTCAGGATTTGTCTTTTCTAGTTTGCTTAAAATTTTGTTCACATGGTTCCTGGTGACCTGCAGAAGCTTCTCCATGGTAGTCCAGAGTTCATTAGGTTTGGACAGATCCAATACAAGAACTACAGCAAATGACCTATTAAAAAGGCATTATTTGGTCACATAAGACAATCAACATTTTCATATACAAGCACACCTGTAGTACAAATGCTGACAGCAACAAATGTGAAAATACAAATGGTAAGGTAGACTTAAATGTGACAGCAAAGGAAGATGGCTTTTAAGGATACTCCCAGCTATGAAGAAATCCTTCCCTTGTCTCTTATTCAGAAGTATCACTTTGGCAACTTTCTATCAAAGGTTTTGCAGGGATTGTATGTATCAAACTTTGTTTCTGGAGACTTTGTTTCAAAGTGGTAAAACATGCAAATATCCTTGAGCACATTTAGCTCTGTCTTTGATATTACTGGGCACTTCTACCATCGTGTATCCCTGCCATCTCATAACTCTGCAATCCCAGATGAAGCAACGTTAGCAAATGGTTAGACTCTATACTTTCATTATTCTTTTGGAATAATGAAATGTTAAAACAAACAAAACAAAAAAAAAAAAAAAAAAAAAAAAAAAAAAAAAAAGAAAGGTTAGTGGCAATATTCTCTGCCACAGACTGTGCCAATTAGCTGGAACCTCAGATGGGTGTATAAGAAGGTCTTCTGAAAGACAAATGGAACAAGTGAAAGTACTCAAGACATACTTAGCAATTACCAGGCTTTTAAAGGTGGATTACGATGAGAAATATTTTACAGATAAAGTCCTCTCCTTCCAAAACCCTGCCTCCTAAACCTCTAACTGTATTAAAGTGCAACTGTAAAGAAGAACATTTCAAAGGCAGCCATTTGAATGGATGCAAATCACTCTTTCACCTTCCATCCTGACCTGAGAAAGGGGATTCCAGACGAGAGTGGTATTAGAAAGACTACAAAGCAAAGGGAATGTCCAGTTTCACTTTAAAATGCTGTGGGGAAAAAAATCTGGTGAAAAGTCACTTGGTGAAACTAGGTATAGTTCATGGAACTTTGAAGTAAGCAAATTTCTTGACCACATACAGATCAGAAAACCAGCGAAAAGCACTTACACTTCAGCTGAAATGGTAGAATTTTTGACTAGCATGTTAAAATACTGCCTTATGAACAGAAGTGGTCTTAAAGAACAATGTCGCTACCCCATCAAAGAATCTTAAAGTCATCATATCAGAAGATTCCTTATCAGTAAAAAGGGAAGAAAATACTGATGGAGGTGGAGCTTAGTTACGTTCATTTAGACAAGAGCTGAAAAATTACAGTTGATTTTTTTCCCCCTTAAGCTCTTCTAGAAACAAAAAGCTCTGCATGCTACAAGTGGGGTTTTCTTATTCCATCTTCGCCTCTCACTAAATAATGGCCTTATCTCAATAGCCAAAACAGTAGCAAATGTATATGATAAAAACTCTACCTTTTTTATTTTTTCCTTTTTTACTTTTTTCACAGAAAGCTTACTACTAAATAGAGCAATGCATCATAACACAAAATGTTCTTGATACTTTTCTTCCCTTCCACTTAACTCCATCTCTCCTACGAGAAAAAACATAAAATGTACTCCTCAACACCTTCTCATTTCTTCTAGCAACTCTTCATGCATTTTTTCTTCCTATGCTATTTCATCACTTTTATGGATTTTTTTTTCTCACTACATTCTCTTAATTCTGTTTCCTTTTGTCTTCAAATCATTCCAGTAGTTTTAGTCCCTCTCCGAAACACCATCTCTCTTGTATGATCTTCTCATCAGATGGTCACTTCCCTTCCCCAAAATCCAGATATTTTTTGCCTTGTTTTTCAACCTAAAATACTGCCCCTCATAGAGACAGCATCTATGTTTGCATACAGATGTAGGAAGCAAGATTTTATTTTCTATATGCCCCCAAGTTGCATTTTTTGCTCTTTCACTGAGCATAAACAAACCATGTCTTCCCTTTTTCTGTATTTCTTGATCTATTTAAGACCAACCTATTTTCTTCATGTTAATGCTTTCTCTTGTTCTTGGAGATTGCTAAGAACCTGGCTTATTAGGAGAGAACTGTGAAAAGGAAGGTCAAAGCAAAGTATCAGTGTTATTACAATGATTTTTAGAAAAAAATAATAAACATTCTATCTTACATTTTGAAAGAGTTTTCCACAACAAAAGGTCTAGAGATATATCCATGTTTGGAGAAAAGCTGAAATTAACTTTGGAATTGTAATATCAATCACTTACCTTATGTTGTTGCTAGTGATTGGTATTCGAATCAGATCCAGTAATGAGGTTCCACCACCTAGTTCCCAAAAATGAGCTACATCTTTAGGCTGTAAAATAGTTTCTGTTAGCAAAGTCTGCTTCCATGCAACACTAAGAGAAGATTTTCATCTGATAAACTGATTTTTCATGCAAGTGACTCAGAACAAGAACATAATTTTACTAGTATTTTATGAAAAAACAAATAAAAAGCTCCCCATATTAAAAAAAAATCCATACAACACTTAGGAAAGACTCCTGGCATGCTTATGACTGTCTTGATACATGACTATGGTAAAGTTAAAAAGTCAGGAAGCAGCATGATTAATGAGAAATATGAAGAAAATCAGGTTCTCTTCCCTTTTTGCTTATTTCAGTTCAAGACTAATGCTTCTTGAGAAGTTTGCAACTGGAAAAGTAATTAATCTCTACCTTCACATTTAGTTTTTGGGGAAAGTTTTAAGTGATTTTTATTTCTCAGAGTCAGATTTTCCACTCCCTGGTTCAGTAATAGGAACAGCAATTACCTGCAGCAATAGCTATTGTTGTTATATTGTTGTTAGCAATAGCTATAGCCATGTTGTGCTCTGATGGGAATGGGTTCAGTATTTCTTTAACATAATCTGCAGTGCAAAATTTAAAGACACGGACACATGTCCCAAAGATTTAATTATGATTTAACATCCTCTCAGATGATTGCTTCTCTCACAAAACTGGTTGTAAAGTATCTTCATTGGTTTGTAGTCATTTTGCATTTTAAAGACAAAGTTAAAGGTATGCGTACTATGTTACAACGGGAAACCAAAAGCACTCAAACATGACAAAGAAAGTAGTTTTTATAGATGAATCTGATTGCTTTGTATCTCTGATCTACTGTGTTTTAGTGAGGGGGAAAAATATATTACAGATTAAAACACAAAATTAAGCTAGCTAACTTAAATAAAATTAAAATACACCCCCCTTTTTGTTTCACAAACAATAAGCTAAAACCCCCTACAATATATATAACAATAAACCACATGTATTATTTTTATGTGTGTGTGTATATATATACAAAAAGATATGGCAAACCATACTTTCTGGATACTCACTGTATTGTGTCTCCTTGCCCTTCTTCCAAAAGTATATTCCAAGGCTAATGTTGGCTTTGGAATCTCTTCCCTATGCAAGGAAAAATAACTTCAAATTCTCTAAATACGGAAAGTTAATTCTACAGTTGCTAAATTAAATTTATCAGTCAGTTGAGAATTTGGCTTAGAAGCAGCAGCACCAGCCTGAACAGAAGACCATTTACGCTCTCTGATATTGGAGAAGGAGGACTGAAGGGATCAGATAACAGGTAGTAATGAAGGGAAATAAGTTTATCCATAACTGATAAACAGACTACATCTGTATACATATATTACATATTATCACACAATATAGCTATTTATGTAAAATTCTAATCTACAGTTGAAAACTACTTTTAAAAATTTAACACATACCTCTCAAGACACCTCAGTATAATAGTGGTCTTTCCCTGAAAATGAGAAACAAAGAACAACCCTACTGTACTGCCATTAAAGCATAAAAGTTGTATCACTAAATGAAACTCACTCATTTAACATTCCAGTAATAAAGTACCGAAAAAGCGTAAACTCTTGTAATTGTTTGTAGCCTTATAGTGGAAACTTAACTGCCATCCTTTTGTCAGAATCAAGTTACACTACCATTATTATAAATATAAACTAATAAGAGATGACAAATACAGTAATAAGAATAGCATGCTTCAAATTAGACATTAGTGATCAACCTGGCCAACTCTGTTAAACGATTTAACAGTTTTTAATTACTAATAATACACTTATGTAATGTTTGGTTTCCACTGGAATTATTTCTTACTGATGAGATTAAAATAAAAAGAATGCTTAAAATACAAATAAACATACCAAAAAATATGTATTTACACTGTTGAAATTCAGACACTGAGTACCATGGTGCACTGGAGGGGCTAACAGCTCTATAGTTTACTCGTGTCCTTTCCTATCTCAAAAAAAATCAGTGAATTTCAGGTAAATCTGAAAAGTCATTGTATTGTCTCTGAAAAAGGTATTTTAAAATTGCTGATTAAGAAGTTGCACATGTACCATTCCTTCTAAAATAAAAACTGTATTCTTAAAAATATGACTCACTTGGTCAAAAAGGCAAATATTTCCTTATTTATTATACAAATAAAAGCTAACAGAAGAAAAATATGAAATTACTAATGACCAAACTTAAGGGGAAATGAGTTAAAACACCCTTAGACATGTGGAATCATGAGTTTGCAATCACTGATAAGGCATGTTCAAATAGGTCTGACATAATTCAGACACAATTCCTATCAGGATGTCAAGGCCTATCTACAACAAAACTGGTATCAATACACTTAAATTGGATTGTTATCAGTTAAATCTTTTACAAGGGGAAATTTGACACATCAAACAATTAAAGAGAGTAGCATTATTTCCAGCAGGTTCTTTACAAAACTTAACGAAGCCAAACCTCGAAGAAGCTTATCATCAATAAGTTTTAACTCTCCAAACCATAAACTTCTGAATTGTAATCATGTCTAATTAGTCCACACTCTGTGGAATGCCCACTCTCTGCAGAATCAGACCTTTTGTCTTTAGAAGAATTAAGTGGACCTTAACATCTGAAAATACCAGGTATCTCCCTGACATGAACTATGTTTGAAAAGCACAGAACTGTACAGTAGTTAGCGTTACCCCATTTTTGTTTCCCATAAATAATATGGATTTTTCCCAAACTTCCACACGCTTGCCATCATCATCAGGGTTTTCTCTCTTCTCCACTTCAGCTATAGCAAGATCCCATAAAGTATCACTAATTGGAAAAAACAAAGTAAGAGTGTCACTAGAGAAGAACAATGGACCTAGACTGTAATTCCTGAAAATATCTAAATGGATAAATGAAGGGGATTGTGATTTATTATCATAATTGTTGTTTCACATCACATGCCCTCTGCTTGTTCAAGTACTTCTAACAAAGCTCAAGGTAACCCCAGCAGCTGTTTGTGGCACAAGCTGAGGAAACACAGCTGTGTGGCGCAAAGCTTTGTTTTGAGTACGTTTAAGAGACCTTTAAAAGGTTTTCTGACGATTACGGCTCTCCCCAGCACCCTGCGGCTCAGGCTCGCAGTCTCTCGAGCCGGAGGTCCCGGACGCCGGCACCGGAGGAGCCGCTCACGGGTCAGTGGGCTGTGCGGAGGGCTCAGGACCGGCCCTCGGTGTCCCGGGGCAACGAGGGCCTCTCCTTCTCAGGCTCCCCCCGGCACCTGCGGGGCGGTGGGTTAGGCCTCGGCCCTTTCTACCGGGTCGCCAACGGGAGCACCCGGGAGTATCCCGGCCCCGCTCGCTTTCGGGGCAGAGGCCCCTTTTAGGCCTCGCTCGCTCCCTCCCCTCCCGCCTCCAGGCTGTCCTCCCGGCCGCCGGCTCCTTCCCCACACGGCAGCGGGGGCGAACCCCCCTCACCAGCCCGGGCAGGGCTCCCCGTTACCCGGCCTTCGGCATCGCTCCTCGGGGCCCGGGCCTGGCTCCCCTTCTGATGCCTTCGTATATGAAGCTAGTGCTTATCTATAACCAGCAGTTAAGAGGTGGTAAAAGCTCTGGACAAAGCTGGTTTTGCTCTGCTAAAGATAGCAAAACTAGGGTAGGAATTGCTCCTGGCACTATGATCTAGGCATACATTACTGCAATAGCAAGAGTGTAATACTAAAGAGCAAAGTTTTTACAGTGATTTACTCACTGGCAGAGAGGAGGCAAATCTGGAGGATGCTGCAGTACAAATCCGAGCTGGGAAGCGCAGCATAAGGGTGTACAGTTAGTAAATGGTACTGAAGTCCAATCTGGAAATGAAATTGGAGCTTTCAGTATTTTAAGTTTCACCTTAGTTTCATTTCCTTTGACCTAAGAAACCGTAAAAAGATACTTTCTTCCTAATTCATTATTACTTTATTACTAATCACCTTAGTTAATTTTAACTCACACTAATGGATTGCACTAAACTGTAGGGACTATTAAAGCTCTCCCTAAAGCTTTAAGTGGTGCATTCCTTTTTGTAAGAATTCTTTCCTTCAGGAAAAAATAAAAAATAGAACCTGGAAAAGCTGTGTTAGCCTGACAAGAAACTCCAACACCAAACACCTACCAGCCTTCTTTTATCAGCAAATATATGCCTCTCTTAAATTTAAATATAAACCAAATTTAAATCTAAAATAACAGAAAAAAAACTTTTCTGGATTGTATTAAAAACTCAAAAGTTTTATCATGTGCCTGCTGTATAGAGGAGTAAATAGGTCTTGCTTGTTTTAGAAATGAGCAGCTTGCTTACTAATACTGCTGTACAAAAACTGACAAGGCACAGTGAAGTTCAAGTAATATATTAATTTGTATTGCTTTCCAAGTATTTTCAAATCAGTGTGATTGTTTATACAGTTACCAGTGAACTTTCAGTCATTATCAAGCTCAGATTCATTGACCGTTTATACTTTTACCAGTGATCTTTCAGTCATTATCAAGCTCAGATTCATTGACCATTTATACTGATTGTTCATACTGCCCACTAGCCCAAAGCAAGCACAAAAGATGTTCTGAAGTTGATGATAGAAGGTGAAGGCTCCTTGCACGTGCCCACACCCTAGTCTCATCTTGAGAATATTTTTACAACTTTGGTTCTGCAAGCCTTGATCATGGGAAGCTCTTCAGCATCAGTCCAAGGTCACTGCTCATTTGACAGCTCTCATCATATCATCACTGCTGAACATTAGGTGGGAAAGGTCTAGTTCCTACCTGGGCTTTAGTCATGGATTAGGTGGTTTGGTAGGAATTGTTTTGGTGGTTGATTCAAGGTTAAAATAGATGTGAATCACTCATGAGGCCTGGGCTGGGTGGGAAAGGCAGAACAGATTATCTGCCTGGATTCTGAAATTTTCAGTTTTGCTGTCTTATGTTGTGTGGTATACTCTCAGTACCTCTGGAGCAAGATTAACATGGAGCAAGTCTCCCTGAGACTTGTATAGCTGTGTTTGCAAGTGTGCTTACGTGTGTAAGAGACTTTACTTGCTGACTGTTAACTTGAAGGCAAGTGTCTGCTTGAGGAGGTTACTATCACTACCGAAACCTCACTCTTGCTAATCAAAGTTCTGGAAGAAACTTAATCGTTTAATGTAGCATCACAGTAACTGATTCTGAGGGCACTGATTTCATAAAAATTAACACAGCATTTCTTGTAATGTGACTATATGGTAATGGTGACCTATAATGAGCAGTTATAGGTAGTAAGTCTGGAAAGTGCTGCAAAAAAAAAAGGGAAACTAATGCATAGATCATTTCTGGCACTATGATGTAGGGATATACTGCAGCAGCAAGAGCTTAACACTAAAAAGAAAAGCAGTGTCTAGAGTTGTCTACCCAGAGGCGAGCAGGAAGGTCATACTCCACAGATTCTATACTGCTTTATAAAGCAGTTGTTTGTAAGGCTGTGTTAATAAAAACTGTTTAATAAACGTGATCTGCCACATTCATTTAAAACTGGACAATTAGGAAATAATTAGTAGTTGGAGTATTCTAGGTTGATAGTTATGTAATTTCATTATGATGTGGAGATTTTTGTATTTATAAATTAAAAATTCTAATAATCATATTTGAGAAGCTTTTGACTATGACCCAGGTATAACTGATGCAGTAGCATCTGTTTGAATTTGCAAACACCCTGCCCCCCTCAAAACTCTGAAAGTTAACTATTCTGCTGATTGCAGAGGGATGTTAATTCCTAACAGTTTCACCACTGTATCTGCAGCACTTCACATGGGGTGCTGCACAAAAAGATGCTGCAGTTGCTGCCAAGGTGTCTCGTAGCTTCCAATATGGTTTCCTTGACCAGGAGATCTGCTGCCCACTAGGAGGTAAACCTCCTGCTGCGGGCCCGGTCTCGTTGAAAGAGAAGGATCTAGTGTCACAGCCACCACCGAAGGGTGAAAGTTGCCAGGAAGCTCTTTCTGCATTGCAAATGTAAAAGCATCTAGATAATGCTTGCTATTTGCTTGTAATTTTCAAGAGACAGCATTGGCCCATAGTGCCATTCATAAAATGGTGCTCAAGTCCTGCAGACTGAAGTAGATGTGGCAGGACTTTGAGAGCTTTCAGAAGAAATGAATTTATCAAGTCAGCTTGACAGTTTGTCTTTCCACTTTTTATGTGCATGTGCATTTTACAAATTGTATCTCCCTTCCAATCTATTTTAGCTCTTCAGGAGGATGCTCCCTACCTTTCATAGAGGGCAAACAGCTGAAAATTCCTTTTCTTTCAATATGACTATGTGTATAACTGAAATGTTTAAATGTCATAAACCAAAGGAGATTTTCAACCTTCAAATACTAAAATTCATCATTGTGAAATTACTTCAGTTTTAAGTAATTAAAAAAACCAACCCGATGAGGTCTAGCAGTAAGGGGTTAATGATCCATGATCATTAGCATGAGCCGAAGTGGAAACTGTGAAATGTATATAAATCAGTGATTTATGTTTGAATACCCTCTCTATGGTTGGACCTAAATTATCTATTAGAGTATGCTGCTGATCCATTTCAGAGCCTGCAGAGGTGGTTTCTTCGCACGAAAATGAAAATGTGAGAATTGAAAGAAAAAATGGATGTAATTTCTCTGTATTTGACCCTACATAGCACTGAGGCTTGCAGCTGAAAAAGGCAACTGGAAGGTGCTCCTAGGTCCAATAGTGCAGATGCAGCATTAAGTCTTCAGTGTGCAAGAACATTATATTGGTATTGTAACACAATGTATAGATACAAAAGAAAAACAAGAAGTACAACTTTTACAAAATATTATTCTGAATCAAGTCCTATACAGTATACACATTATACATGGATTTTATGTCACATATGTCTCCAAGTTTACTCACAACAGTTTAATCAATGACCTGTGTTATTCTTGTGTTTTGAATTGTGAGTCATTCTTGCATCTGTATTATATTATTATTCTGGATTAAAGAAGAAATTAGTTACAGGATCTTGTTTAACAAAACTGTACTAAATACAGTGTCTGTCCAATTTATATTTTTCCAAAAGACTGGGGCAGAGAGGGAGTATTTAGAAGTTTACCAGACCAAGGCTGAAGATTTGCCAAGTAAAATAGCTGTATAACAAAGGCTAGAGTGTATCATGAGAATACTCTTTAAATTTATAATAGCTACATGATGTGCTTAGAGTTGGTTTTTTTTTTTTTTTTAAAGGAGAAACAATTACAGATACTAAGCAATTTGTTCTTTTTTAGTCCCGTGGTGCTTGTATTGCACATGAGGATGGGTGCTAAAAGTGGAAAATATTTTGTATTTGACTGGTTTTTTTTAAACAAAAATTCCATTTCAAAATTAAGGTTATGCAACCTGTATAATTTTGAAAAATAGATGAGAAGAGTTGAAGACAGTTTGGTCCCTGAGTAAATATCTGGAAAAACTAATAAAACCTATACAATTGTTCCCAAGGCCACCTTTCCCCATTGCTCTCAACAAGACACCTTTATTTCTGAACTACAGGCACAAGCCACCACCAGTAGAGCATAATCCTTAAATTGGCTCATCATCATTCCAGTTCAGGCCAGGCCGTTAATGGAAGGGCTCCTCCTGCTCTACACCACTGCAATGAATGAAAACCTTTCTTTTGTTTATGGACCTGCTTAGGCTCTATGTTTTGTATATCATAATGTTTTCAGTCGGTGTAGAAACCCTGTAACAAAGATGCATTATCATGACACAGAATCCTTTCATAATAACGTAGGACATTTAGTTGGTCTGTTGTTTGCAAGAAGTGGCTGACTCCCCATTTCCTTGAGTTTCTGTCCACTTTGAGGTGTCAGTAATGCTGGAGCAGAGAGGTGATGAGCAGCTCCTTTCAGCTGATGAAAGTTGTTAATATAGCTGGCAATCAGTAGAGTGATCTCAAGAATCTATAACAGGAACATAAAAAACTCTTTGAAAAATACAGTGATGTGTTTTGACTGCTGAAAAAATAGCTAACTTTTTAGTAAGTGACAATCACCATCAACTGGAAAAGTACTTTATCAAACAAATTAATGGTGGGGAGAGAGGAGATGCCTAATAGAGCTTTTTTTATTGCTCCTTGCAAATAGTGTAATGTTATTCCCATTAGTATGCTAGATACTTTGTCTTCCACAGTCTTAAGTGATTCAAACAGATGGCTTCTCTCACTTTGAAAGAGATTTTGAATTCCAAACGATGATGCTCTGAAAAAAACCTTCAGTTTTGCTAGAAAATATCTAGTGCTCAGAGAAATAAAGACACAGGATAGATAAAAGGAGTAAAGACTTATGGGAGATTTTTACTATATTTTCTCTTTGCAATCCACACAACCTTGCCTATAAGGGCGCAATCTGAGGGATGTTTGATCAGATGTATTTTGCTGTGCTTATTTGTATGAAGAATTGTGTTTTGACCCAAATTTATATGTGGAATTTTGTATTCTGTTTCATAGATTGTTCTGACTAACAACAAAAGGCTTTGAAATC